AAAAACGCGTCGTGTACGGCTTCAATAGATTGACTTTTAGCGCTACACGTCAGTGTCGCGCTTGTGATGAATAAATGATGCAAGTAAGAGGGATCTATCGGTCATCCGCAAAGTTCAAAGCCTGTGCACTTCAGAATAGGCCATGAGTTAGTTTTTGTACGTTGCGAATGCCTCGCAGCTAGCCGTGTAGTAGACGGGCATCGCTTGTGCAGCGGCTAAATAAAGCCTCTGCGATCGATTATTACCGGTCCCAGTTAGTTTCGTGTTTTCAATGCGAGCGGGTCGCAAGGAAGTTTTCGAGTGACGCGATCCTGTTAAGTGGATTGCATTTACCGACGGCGATAAAGAAATGTATCTATGTGGTTTTAAACGATTTATAGAAGAAAAATAAGAATTCAGTCTGTACAGAACGTCGAATAACAGGAAAATATTGCGGTAATGTGCGAGTCGTTCGTGCACCTTGGGAGTACTTGGAAACGATTTATACTTTAGGAGAAGAGAATAAGGAACGGCTAATTTTATGCCGCCTTTATTACATTACAGTAATGCCTGTAGGAGAATATTTATGCTGAATATACTGGTGCTTATTAAAATATTTACACAACTGCTAAAAGAAATCACAACACAAGCACGATGCTATAGACTATAGTGTACAGACATAGAAGATAATTATAATGCTAACGTCTTCTTATGAGTATCTACAGAATTATAGTTGCTTTTCTAAGTAGGCACTTAAACATATTTTTGTATCAGTTTGTATTCGAAGTAGCGCCTACACACTTTCACTTCGTCTTCATAAATCTAAGAAAACATCTATAAACAGAGAATTTTTGAAGAAAATATTGTTTAAGTTATGTTGATACCAATGGCAAGTAAATTATAACATAAGACAAAATTAACGTAAGAAAAAATATAATTTTTATGAAAGGATTTTAACTTTAAAACCGTACGTAAACGTACTTTAATAAGTAGTTTTAAGTACGATTTTGTTAACTATATTGCGTAATTATTAGATATTCGGAGATTGAAAAGAAGTCAGTTCACATGAAAACTCCAAGGATGACGTAATCTTGATTTTTTAAATTTAAAGTTACACTCGCTCGGTACAAAGGTAACAATGTTGCGCGATGACGTCAATAGTTGGTAACAGTAATAAAAGCGTTTGGTATTTAGCTGTAAGAGTATTATCAGCACAAACGGTAAGAAATAATATGTAATAAGAGTCGGGCATGCAACAGTTGACCGTGGTGATGTCACCGGCGTGTTAACAAAACACTACGCCACAGCACCGCGCCTCAGTCTGTGGTGAATTCACGTAATCATTGCGAAATATGCTTTTTAATGTATCAACTCTGTGTGCTAAGACTATATCTTGTCTATTAAGGCTTCTTTTTTGATATTATAACGTCATTTGTGTTAATGAAATAAGACATGTAATAACATAATGGTGGATCTTTGTTTTAAATTTTATGTCTTCGTACATGCATGATATCTTTAGAAATCGTTAAATTGAGATTTGAATGAATATTCCACAACGTTCTTTATTTTATGCGGAATAGGTTTTATTCATATATTATTTACTACCTGTCGCCCGCGACTACGTCCGAGCGGAACTAAAAAAGACTTAATTAGTAAAGTATGGGTTCTTCCAGACTGTTCTACATATCTGCCAAATTTTCGCGGGATCCGTTCAGCCGTTCTGGAGATACCTTCAAACAAACATCCAACCATCCATAAAAAAACATTCGCATTTATATATTAGTAAGATAAGTAAGATTTGCTATTTTTAACTGATTAATTAATAAGTATTTATTACAAATCCTACACACTTTAGTCACAATGTTAGCTTGTACGGTCATTTATTTATAGCTGTATTAATGTCGTCTAATGAAACTGATGAACTGACCTTTAAGGTAAGACATCAAAAATCCAGTTTTGATTGCAAAGTATTGTTTGGAGTTGACGTAAGGCGCGTGGGTTTAACCGAATAAGGCAATAAGTTCGGTTTAAACTAACAACATGGCGTCTAATCTAATATGGCCCTCTCAATCATATTCCGTAATTGAAGGCTTAATCATGTGATGTTAGTGAATCGCATAGTTCTTTATATGCGGGCTTTTACCCCACCCTAATGCTTCAGATTCAAGAAACATGTATGTATTAAAATATCAGATAATTAATTTCATAAGAATATTAAATATTACTAACATAAAACTTACATCATTATTATGTTACTTTGTTTTATATTCGCTAAAGTTATTAATAAGCGTAAGAGATTTCAAAGATTGAATGGAGGATTATCAATTAAATGTTTCATTATTTTAAATAACTGTATGTGAATTAAAAAAAACGCTTTTAAAATAGTGTTTTGATGTGCACATGATAAGGTTAGTTGGAAAGGCGATAATTTTTTTCTTTTTGATTAGTCGGACAAAAGAGTGTATGTTTAACAAAGCGACAGTGGTGGAGTGGCGCCGGGTGAGGTCGTTGTTTATCTTTACTAGCTAGATATCTATCTGGACTGCGTCTCCGACAGAGACCGTTTACTTCGATATGAGGTGCTTCAATTTATTAGTTTGCTGTGTAAACGAAACTCTTTCAGAAGTATTAAATTACGTACAACGTAATAGACTTTACAGAATGCGTTAATATATGAATGTTTTTTTTAACATATGCAGCTGACATAACCTGGCCTGTCTGCGACATATAATTAATAGTGGACATACATACAAATTTTCGAGGTACTTAGTAGACTATAGCATAATAACTATTTAAATTTATATTATAATATTATTTGCACAACGCTATTGTTTTACTCAAAAGATACACTGATATTACACACTGTTTACTTGAAATGTTTAACCCTTTGACCGCCGGCGTTTTTATTATGGATGTCAATATAGTCAAAAGAGTATGTTATATGTTTGTCAAGATCGATTTCGGAATCTTACGCATTATTATATTTTAATAATAATAATTCCTGGTAAACTTTAATATTACCGTGCGATAAAAGGCTTGACATAAGTTTAAGCAAAAATATAATTGAATACTGAGTTATAGCTCTAAAAGCCTGACTAATTTGATACATACAAGAGTTAGTTCCAGAGGAAATTATTAAAATGTTATTGAATTTAAAAAAAACGTAATTTTGTATATAAAATATGCAAATTAATAAATGTTTGCATTGTTACTTAAAATGATAAAGCAGATAATTTAACAATATTTTAACAAAAAAAGCAGTTTTGTTTATTCTGAAGGTCAGATTATTAATTTTATCGTAAAAAACACGCTTATCATTCAGTATGCTAGTTGACATGTTAAAAATTATTATTACTCGAATAATTTAATTAGAAATGTGTGTTGGAATATGAATAAAGAAACAACAAATAACGCAAGTACAAAGTTTGACATTTACTTTATAGTTAGAGAAGATTTGAAACCACATAAATGAAACATGTTTTTGCACATGTGTGAGAAAAGGGGGCAGTAGATTGTCTTGCAGATTCAAGACCCAATAAGCAACGAGAGTGAGGAGATGCTCTCAAAGAGTAGATAAGATCGCGGCGGTCGCGGCAGTGCAGCATCGGCGAGGCAGCGGCGGCGGCGTCATTGTATGGAATGTGCGGTACTCCGTTGCACAAAGGCCGCACAATGCACGCTCGCCCATTGTTTAACGTCTCGGACTATACATGATGCCCGGTTTTAAGCGAATTACCGCAACGATCTTCACACATGTCTGAGCTTCGCTGATAGCACCTATAGTTCACACAATACGATGCCGACTACCCCACCCTGCCTATCCTAGATTCCTCGCAGAATGAATGCAGAAATTTCTTTTGCGACCAGTAGTCAATTTCAAATATCTACGTTTTTTTTTACCAACGGTACCGATTTGTTTAAGAAACAGTCTGACAACTTTGTCATGTCTTGTGTAATGAGTAAAAAATGATATTCTGTAACAAAATACATTAAATGTTGCACTGATGCAACAAAGAAACATTAAATGAAACCTATGTCATCGGTTGGTGACAGAACGTCATCCGGAGGCAACATGCGCGACAGGGACGCAGCGGTCGCATTGAATGTAACGACCGTCGCCAACAGACGTGCCGTCTTTTCCCCGACGACAGTGGAAACCTTTGCCGAACGAGCCCTCTCTGTTACTCGAATGTTTTATCTGTAGATCGCGTTATTCAACCGAGCATCAAAGGAAAATTCTACAGCAAAATATTAAAGAAATACAATACAATATGTCTTTACTGGGACTACGATACGATGTTATGATTTTTAACAATCAGCTCAAATAAAGTGCAAAGCGCAATAAATGTAAAACAAATTAAATGATGCAATTTGACAAAAAATGAATAAACGAATGCACTTGTAACGAAATTAAAATGTATTTTTTCCAATATTTGGAATGGCCGCCGACTACCTTATCAGTTTCAGCTTCGAGCGATGCAATGGCAGAGGTGCGTGTTTACATGTCGATTTTAATTTTTATCGCGCTGTGTTTGTCCGAAATAACTACACAATATCACGCCGCTCTTCGCCCTGATAAAGCCGCGTTCGTATCACGTAATATTCCAACTACACGTAGTACACTATTCATATAAAAATTTATTGAAATTATAACGAACGACTAATGTGGTAAATAAGGTATATGATCTCATTAAAAATTACATGAGTGAAAATAACAAAATTCTAAATATGAAAAGGTCTCTAATTAAGTAACTAGTGCGTTTTTAAATGAATCCGTCTAGATGTGCCTCGAATGAAGGCGTCGTCGAGTCATCGTCCTGCCTCATTATGTTAGCGCGATGCCAATTCCCATACAATGTTTCACTGCGGTGGTACAGTGGCTCGGATGACGTCATTCAAACCAGCGTTGGAACAAAGATCGGCGCATAAAATGGCGTCGAAAGATTTTATTAGGGTTGCCATCTAGCTGAAAACATCTTAAATTAATTTACTATCTAGAAAAATAGCAAACGTACACTCACCTTAATACTATCGTAGCAGGCGGTAACTCTTCCGTTCTGCACTTCGACGGTGGCCGGGGGGTGAGCGAACTTGCACTCGGTATCAGGCCGCGAGCACTTATTCCGTTGGAACTCCCGGCACACTTCGAGCTGTAGCCAGCGTGAGTCCTTGCCATTGAGGAGGTTATTCATGTTCACCATGGTTGCCATCGTTGTCTCTACGGTCGGGGTCGGCGAGCGGGAGTCGCACACTCAGTTACACCGAGCGGGCGCGGTGCATAAGCCGCGGTACGAGCACGCCCGACGCTGCGGGCATACACTTCCCGGCCGGTGGCGCTGCCGTGCGCCGTGGGCTGCAGCGGCACTCACTGGGCACGAGGTCGCGAGACAAAGGACACCGCTTCGAAAGAAATGCGCTCCGCACCAAAAGTACTTAGTAATAATCTTAGTCGCGTTAGAACTGGACACCGACTTTGCAAGCTTATTTAGGCGAGTATTAAATTATTATCACACGCGTCGGTACGGTATCGATGTGTATGTCGATGTAGATGTCGAAGGTCGCGGTCGAGTTTAGTGGAGGGCGAGCGGTGCGTGGTGCGCGAGCATGGCGGCGGTCGTAATGCGGGGCGCGGGGCGCGGTAAGCAGGGTTAGCGGCTCGGCGGCGGCGGACAAGCCGTGGTGCGGTGCGGCTCAACTCTGCGAACAACAAAACACACTGGTTAGTTTCGGGGCTTTCGGCCCCGGAGCCAAGCTGAAGCGGCTGCCGGGTTAGGAAGCTGGCGGCGGCCGCTCACAGGCCTCGTATCGCCTCTCTCGCATGGGTTATTTGAGGGGGATAGCTTTGAGTGACATTATAGTATATAAAGTACAGCGCACGACATGGTAGGTATGGTCTAAGTGCATTCAAAAATGCCTGTTCACTGCTTATATCAATCATTTATCGTAGCGTTGTATCAATTATGGAATACACAAAACTCAAAATACGAAACGTCTCGGTAATAATTAGAGAAAGTTAATGTTTTACATTTATTAATGAACTTCTGAACGTACAATTTGCATAGTGATTTTAGAGCGAGACTAATTTCGCTGCTATTCTCATAGCATGGCTTGCCTTCATTGTCATGTTTAACTTAACTCACTTGAAATGCAGCTATTATTATCTAAGTACTTTGAGCAGTTTACAAATGGTTTGCTATGGTTTAGGTATAGGACAGACAGGTGAGTTGTGGGCGGCGTAAGTTTATACTAGCACTTTCTTACGTAACGGATAGTTAATATATGTTTACATAGCAACGATTACGATATAGATTATATTAGTTCTATGTGGCATGACCCACTTTCTGCGACTGTTAGTCGAAAAATATGATACATCACGTAGGTGGCTCATAATACATAGTAATAGCGTCGAGTCGAGGAATAATCTCGCGGAAAAATTGTTTGTGTGGGCGCTGGCGGGCGGATCGCGACGGTCCGGGGGCCGGGAACAGGGAAAAATTCGTGAAACCAAATCCTATCGTAATGTGCTATTTAAAGCATAACCCAGTTGAAAATAGCCCGGTGCGCGGCAACGCAGCGACGCTCTTTCTCGACCTGCATAAATCTTCACATTTTATTTTCGATATGGATGCAATAATATTTTCTGTTCTGTCGTTACTATGCAGACGAGTCTTGTCTCGGCGGAGCTAACTTTTGTCTTGCTAGCTTGGTACTAAACATAAATGCGGTAATATCTTTAAACTGCGCCATAACGTTGACTAAAATAGTTTCGTAAATATTCAAATAAGTTAGCGGTGACAGGTGTTGTAAAAGTGCCGTTTTTTGTTTGAAATAATATTTACACCTGTTGTAGGTAACCATTGGTTTTATCAATTTAAACTTTCTGTTTTATTCATGCTAATAACATTAATGCAATCATAATATTCAAATACGTAACTATCAGATTTAGAAGTGATATGACAATAAACTTATTAAAATTTGAGACCAAGAAACTAAGTAAAAAGGTTGTAGGTTACGCTTAGATAGCCTGGAGTATTCCAAAATTATTCTACTACAGCCTACAATAGTATCATGAATAGCAGTAGTATAGTGAATATTATATTACAAGGTATACAAACAGGAAAACACAACGAATGGATCAAAGGAAAATCGTATTATAAATACCTTTGTTCATCTTTGTTGTATGACAATCATGTAACAAAGCTTTGCATGTACAAATCTAAAACGTTAATCTGTTAATACATTAGCTCATGAATAGAATGTAGGATATATCTAGCATATTGATTAATGAATTGTCGATTTTACTTTTGTGCATTGTATATATATAAATTTTAGATGAAATAACTACGCCACAGGTAACTACTACACGCAAACAGACACAGACATTTATAACATACCGTGGTTAACCATCTTAGCTGAAGAGCCACCCCCTAAAAAGGTTACCCTGTAAAGTAGGACGGCGAACTGTATATTGCCCGAGACATGGCGATGGATCCTGTCTAATGATATTAATAATATGACTAGCATAAGATCCCGCAGCTGATGGTGCACTATTTTTTATTCAGTATATATTAAATTATTTAGTTGTGTTTTTAATAAAATGTATTTTGTAAGGAAAAGATTAATAAATAAATGGAATAAATAATATGACTAAAATATCAATTTGTTAATTGTATTAATAATAATACAATGATGCAATGGAATCAGATGTTAGTAGACAATGTATAGCGGTGTGGTGTCGACAGCCTAGGGCTTGCGTCTCCTACACACGAAGCGGAATAACATTCAATAACCCAGTGAAAAGATTACCAAGAGCAATCAGACGGAAGCGAATCTAAATAAGAATCTCTTGAGAGCGGTCGGACGAAAGGGTGGGGAAGGGAGGGAGAAAAAACACTCGGGTCGAGCTTTTGTGATCGGCGATTCGATCAAGTTGCCATCCACGAATTTATTGTGCACAGTTTAATAGATATTTCACGAACAGCGCGCGGTCGAGTGTTTCAACATCGACGGGTTATTATTTTCGGAACAGAAACGAGCCACTCGCCCGCATCCGGAGTCTTGACCGGGAATCGAACCTGGGCCTCCCACCGCCGCGGAGGGCGCTCTAACCACTGAGCTATCAAGACATTAGAATGCGAGGAGCTCGCTATAAATGTCACATTACCAATCTAAACACAATTCCTTCCTTCTATACCGTCTAAAAGCTCTTAGCATAAATTATATATTTCTATTTTTGTATTTATCACTCATTCTATGTATTACGTAAATTAATGTAATATACTTGAGAAACTGTCTAATTATGTTGATTGAGTATCGGCGCGTTGGCACAGTCGAGTGCGCCTTGCGCTCGCCTGCGCTGCGCCTTCTTGCGCTGAACTTTACTTGACATTTGCTGGAGCATTGTTACGGGCGCGCCGGTGATGTAGACAATCTCGTTTGCCGTACTGAGTTGCTATGAATTTCATTAGCATATTAGTTAGTGCTTTGCGTGGCAACGGTTATAAAAGCCATTCGGGATATTTCGTGTATTTATATAAATAAAATGTCTACTATGCAAAAAGTCACACAGACCTTGTGCCGCTTAAGTGGCTATTAAAATGTAATATTTTGTGACATCTTTAACATTTAAGTTTGTATAGTTCTAGGCAGACAATGTATTAGAAGAATACGAAAGGAGGACATTTGTTTATACGAAAACCAACTGATTAATTTTATTCACAATACTTTCGACTAACTTATGACTTGAAAAAAGACCTATTTTATAAGCCGATTACTCTTTCCTTTCTAAAGAACATGTGTACAAACAAATAAACGTCGATATTTAGATTAACGGTACTTTTTTTACGTTTTAAAACAACATAGATATCGTTATCTAATATTACACATAAAACGCATTGTTATAAAATTATTTTCATTAATTAACTAATCATTAACAAATACAAAGTAACACGTTCTTGAGGTTTCATAAAGCATTTACTTATTACTCTTTTAAGATATCAAACGTAGAAAAAATATTATGTATTTTGTAATATTGTTTTTTTAAATATGAAAACAATTTGTCTTTAGAAAAAAAATATACGTAAAAAAATTCGTATGCAATTAAAATGCTTAAACCGAAAATAGACAAGGCACAGTTTCGTAACAGCATGTTTATTAATTCAGTCTATTTGTTTAACTTAATTATAAAATATAATTAGCAAATTAAATTTCTTAATATAATTGCAATTCACAATTCTGTGAGTCTTTAAAATTTGATAAGTCTAAGTTTTAGAATGTCAGGTCAACTGAGTAAGTTATGCAATTATTTTTTTGTGGTGTCTATAAGAACGGTGGCCGAGGCGAATTTCCTATTGTTATCTCGGGGCAGGTTTATCGTCGCAGCAATCAAACGGGGCAATTCGATAAAAAATTGTAAACGGCGACCGGCACGTAATGAATAGATCGACGGCAACAGCAAGCTACGCGTCATCGCGCGATCGAAAGGTGACCTTGGCTGGCGCGCTCGGCCGCAGACGGCGGAGCAAAAACCACCACCATGGTCTATTGGACATGGCGCTGCGACGCTCTGCCGCATTTGGTTCAATTGCCCATTTGCATACATTCGATACGATTACCATATAATATCTCTTGTCTCTGACTGCGTCACTCTTTAAGGGTGCCAACTGGCCGCGCTGAATTTTAACGAACCTCAGGGCACTTGAATAGTAACAGATAATTTTAACTAATAGTATATTAAGAGCATATTTACAGCCAAGTTTAGGAAAACACGCAAATGCGCAGTGTGCAACGTCTAATTTGACGATGTAATTATTTCTAACATTAAATCATTGGGCACAATATTGGAATGTTTATCCTGTTATATTTTCAATTAAATTCCTGTAAAGCAAGCAACACTTGGAACGCACTGAAAAACAAAATTCATAAGGTAAATTAAACTTTTATGACTGATATTTCTGTCAATTCGGCTCATGTTTGTATTAATGTTCAGGGACACAATTTAAGGTGAACGAAGCAGCGGATTATGGATCTTAACACTTCGTCTGACGGTACTAAATTGTTTAAAGCTCGACGGCGTCGTGACGCGTGTTGTGAGTCGCAAGTGATGTCACCCGATTTTATACGATTCTTTATTCTGCGCACGCCGTCGTATGCGTTGGCCGACAGTGGTTGTTCGACTCAGACTAGTAGGGAGAAAAAAAAAGAAATATTAGAAGCACTTACATTCTGAGAATAAGTACATTTACTATTTTTGTTAAAAACAATATTTTCCTTGGTCTACTATGTGTAGTGTCTACTATGAGTTGATAAGAAATGTTAGAAAAGAAACGTATGACACGTAATTTATAATTATTTTATTAACTTTTATCAGCTTCTTAATAACAGAACCGTTTACTATAAATGAAATTGAAGTGGTTTTATTGTGATTATAATGTGTTTCCTATCTACTTGCATACTTTTCTTTCTGTATGATTACCTTTGAATTGAACGATATACCTATTGTTTCATAAAGTTGCTGTCTAGCCAGTCGATAACACAATCAATGGCGAAGCAATGTTGCGCCCGAGGGGAGGCTCATATGAATTAAAAATAATAAAAGAAATAGGAAATCGAATATTCTGGATATATTTGCAATTAAGCGAATGATTAGGTGATCACGTAGGTCAGTTCCGGCGGTCAAAACAAAGGGCATTGTCAGC